GGGCCAATGAAGGGGGGGGGGGGGACCGGTCCCCGGTCCCCCTTCCGGACTGCTGGGCCCCAGTAAGGTGACAAGAGGGGCGGGGGGAAGCCGGGGAAGTCAGGCCCTGGGCCCCCTTCCGGACCGCCGGGCCCCAGTAATTTGTACCGGCTTCCCCCCCCCTCTCGTCGGCCCTGCACAAGCTTGCTTGACACTAGTGCAGATGTTCTCAGCCCCGCAGCCACAAAGAGGCGTCAAGGGTTCAGGATTGTCCTGCCTCTCCATACCAATGAAGGGGAGAGGGTCAGGGCCCTGATATGAAAAAAGGGGCTGCAGCACGAAAAGGTTGAGAACTACTGCGCCAGTGTAAATTGGGGGCAGATGACAGGGGAATGATGGATGGAGGTTCCCTGCTGAACAGGAGAAGGGAGAAATCTGCAACATGCCAGGTGGGGCTAAGATAAAGCAGGAGACATCCTGACTCGCCAGGGGGCTGAATGTATCCGCAGCTCAGAGCTCCTACACCACACTACACAGCACTGATGTATGAACAGGAAATGTCAGGCTAGCCTTTCAACCTATCCCTGTTGGCTTGGGGCCCAATGGCCTATGGCTGCAGCTTTGGCAGCACCATTTGAACTGGTCCTGCTGTTCATGTGACAAATTAGGGAAGCCCTTCGGGCGAGGTTCCTCCGCAGACCTGTGGGTCGATGGTTTTCTAGTACAATCTGAACTTCTAACGTGCTGAAGGCACTTCACCCCAGGAACCACAACGTAGCCAAGGAGCCGGTTTCCCAGGATTTCCTGGCACCTAGGCTCTGCCCCAGGCTAGTAGCTCAGAGTGCTACAGCAAGCAGGGTCTGAGCATGTGCATGGAGAACAGACTAGACGGCTTCCATGAGAATTTATTCCGGTCTTGCTTAGGGAACAGGTTCATCTCCCAACTTGGTGAGCTGATTATTCTTTAAACAAACAATTGATGCAAAGAGAAGCTTTTTTTCAGACAGAACTTCACCTGTATAAGAGGGAATGGGGGTGGGTGGGTGTGTGGGAGAGAAAGAGAGAGTGCATGCGCTAGGGATGGTCTAGGATTTACTTGGTCCTGCCTCAGTGCAGGGGGCTGGACTAAACTACCTCTCAAGGTTCTTTCCAGCCCTACATTTCTATGATTCTATAAAACCAAAATAGTTACAGTACATAGACAAAACCCCTGTTCCTCCTTAAAGCTGTTGGGCAAGTCAATATGTTAATAAAATGAAGGGTGATCTTGCAGTTAAGGACTTTGGAGATCTGGATTAAATTCCTGGCTGTGAAACAGGCTTCTCTCTTTGACGTTGAGCAAACCAATTAGTTGCTCTGTGCCTCAATTTCCCCATCTATAAAGGAGAGAAAATCCTTCCTTTCTCCCACCCTTTGTCTGTGTTATCTACTTAAATGCTATTCACTGTGTATATGACAAGGGGGTCTCGATCCCTGTTGAGGCCTCTAAATCCTTGTATAACACATATAAATAAAAAATAAGCAGCAACCTGCATACTTAGTAAATCTACTGAATTTGCAATTACCCTGCCTAGTAGCAGAGGACTACAGAAACTGATAACATTAAGCATGGGCGACACAAATGCCAAGGTAACTTGTTTCCTTCCGTGCATTTCCTCAGCGTGGCTTCATTTCTCTCTCTCCAGTCTTCTTTAAAATTTAAAACGTTAGACTCATAGACTTTAAGGTCAGAAGGGACCATTATGATCATCTAGTCTGACCTCCTGCACAACGCAGGCCACAAAATCTCACCCACCCACTCCTGTAACAAACCCCTAACCTATGCCTGAGTTATTGAACTCCTCAAATCGTGGTTTAAAGATCTCAAGGTGCAGAGAATTCTCCAGCAAGTGACCCGTGCCCCACGTTGCAGAGGAAGGCGAAAAACCTCCAGGGCCTCTGCCAATCTGCCTTGGAGGAAAATTCCTTCCCGACCCCAAATATGGCAATCAGCTAAACCCTGAGCATGTGGGGAAGACTCACCAGCCAGCAGCCAGGAAAGAATTCTCTGTTCAGAGGTGGATGTTAGGGGATGTGGATGTGGTGCTGCTCTCCTGTCCACTCCTGCTGAGGGGATGGAGCATAATGGATGCTTTTGCAATGGGGGGAGCGGGGGAATACAAAGTAGACTCCTGCTGCCAAGGTGTTTACAAGTTTTGCAAAAGCAATGAATGGGCAGGTTTAATACAGCGATGTAGAGCACCTAGCATGCTAAGTGGCCTAGAATATTACAGTACTGAAGAATGTGTAAACAGCCCCTGGTATTGAGAGTCTCTTAAGTATATAAATGTTCAAGTGCCACTTCCACAGTCAGCTCTTAGGTGACTGATTTTTTAAATTAAAGCCTTCATAGGTATGTACTGTAAAGGCTGGGGAGTAGGAGATCGGAGCTTTGAGATGAATATAAAAGTAAGGTCCTGCCCCCCTTGTGCTCCTTGAAGGTTCCATGGCACTCTTCACTGTTCAGTCCAGGATGAAGCGACCCCACAGTTTGTACATTGCTTGGTAAAACACTTTGGGATGAAAAGCACTAACTGGTAAGATCATTTGCTATTCTTAGGTCACAGTTTGAATCCAGACCAGGTTGGTAGTAATTGAAAATCGTCTGACTACTCTTTGGTATCACAAGTTGTGGTCTTGGTCCAGGTGAAAGTGGATCAGCATCCTCATCATAGATCAGTAGCAGCCTTGCTGGCAAGTAGCATTAAATAAGCCAAGAAATTACTGGGCACGGATAGGAGATTGAACTATCCTCTTATTGCTAGTGGAGATCTTTCTAGGGTGGAGCTGTAGCCTACCAGTGGGGACCACAAGCATTTCATAGAGTCCTGGGAGAGGGTTAGACACACTTGAATATTCTACACATGTAGTCCATCTTGTTCTGCTGTTGCCCAGTCTGAAGCTGCTCTCTGACTAAACAGAACAGTGGTTTTCAAACTGTGGGTCATGACCCAGAGGTAAGGCACTGGGTCGCAGCAGCTCTGGTCAGCACCGCCGACTGGGCCGTTAAAAGTTCCATCAGCAGTGCTGCCCGGCTAAGGCAGGTTAGTTCCTACCTGTTCCGACACCGCGCTGTGCCTGGGAAGTGGCCAGCAGCAGGTCCGGCTCCTAGGCAGGAGGGCGCCACAGGGTTCCGCACGCTGCCCCGCCCCAAGCACCGGCTCCGCATTCCCATTGGCCAGTTCCTTCTGTACTGGAGACATCGGTGTATAGAACAATCTTTAAAAATTGGAGAAATATCCAATTGGAGTTTATCATAACATTCCTGAAAACAAATCATAAAGTGTTATACACATGTGCCTGTGGGCGAGAGCCGTGCGGAGCTGCTTGCGTGCTTCTGCCTAAGAGCCGGACCTGCTGCTGGCTCTTTCTGGGGCGCAGCGCAGTCCGCGGTGGCAGGACAGGCGGGACCCAACCCCACACCCCAATCTCCTGCCCCAACCCTGAGCCCCCCCTCAAACCTGGAGCCCCTCCTGCACCCCAAGCCCCGCATCCCTGGCCCAATCCCAGAGCCTGCACCCCAAGCCCAGAGCCCTGACCCCTTCCTGCACCCCAACCTCCTGCCCCAGCCTGAACCCCTCATTCCTGGCCTCACCCTGCAGGCCTAACCCCCGCACCTCAGCCCTCTTCCCCAGCCCTGAGCCCCTCCCAAACCCCTCATCCCCAGCTCCGTTGGGTTGCAGGCATCAATTTTCTTCAACTGGGTCACCAGAAAAAAAGTTTGAAAACCACTGAAATAGAGGGCTCCCATTTTCCCCAGTGCTGTCAAACCTGGCACCTTTCAACAGCACAAATATTAACTTAAGAAAGATTGAAGTCTGCCATTGAGTTTGCCAAGCCGTTCGGTGAAAACTTCATGTACAGCTGAACATTTCATCAGCCTTGCCAAGTCTTGTTCATTCTGGATTAATTTTAAGGCAGTTTTTAAAGTGATGATGAAGGATTAATGCAGTGTTTCAGCAGCATTTAAAATCTCTCTCTCTTTAAATCTTTCATTCAAATTGTCCCAGCTTGGCTATTCTGGAGTGTATTTGATTTGTGACTTGGAGCAATTCACTGATAATGACATTTTCATTTAGCTGAGTGCTTACAAGTGAATGTACAGTGCGTGGGTGGTTACAGTGCCTTCCACTTTTAAGCATGGATACTTGAAAGAATTCATTTGCAATAAAACCATATAAACCTGATACAGTATATGAAAAGTACCTGTCCAGCAACAGCATAGCTACACGGGGAGAGGATGCTGTGCAGTGATTTGGCCAGTCGCAGCTTCACACCAGCCGTAGGACTTTCCCTACCTATGGGCTGATTGCTAGTGGCAAGCAGGAGAATGGGCATGAAAGGGACATGCAGCGGTGTCATGCTAAAGTCAAGGAGCTGAGGCAGGCGTACCAGAAGGCAACGGAGGCCAACTGTCACTCTGATGCAGCACCGAAGACATGCGACTTCTATAAGGAGCAGCATGCCATCCTTGGTGGCGACCCCACCGTTCCCAGAGCTCCCAGCGGCAAAGGGTGACCACAGTGAGATAGCTACCCACAATGCAACACACTCTCTGTCGATGCAAGAGCAACGACTGTGGACATGCTCAGCCGACACAAGGAGTGTTGTGTGGACGTGCTCCACCGATGTTATTAATGCAACTTATGATTGTTGACAAAACTTAAGTCGACTTAACTCTGTAGTGTAGATATGGCTTGAGATACTGGTAAGATGACAGCAAGGAGGGGAGAGGTCATCTATTGAAATTGTGTGTCCAGGAGCAATAGGAAAGAATAACCGCAATTTAATTCCTCATATTAAATGCAGGATTTAAATGATCTCCTACTTAGTAACATTAACTCTAGTTCTCTGTATTGGAAACCACTGATAACGTTCTAAAACCGCATGCATGTTAAGTCTAAAAAGAAAATCCAAACCCTCTGGGGCCAAGTGTTATATGCAGTAAGTAATTACTATGCAAAACAAATAGAACAACGGTCTGTGTTTAGTTTTTTTATTACTACATAATAAATCTTTCACACAAAAATAATGAAAAGGATCCCTCAGGTGGTACTTTACAGATCTGAAGGAAAATAGAGTATTTGTGAACGCATCAGACTGCAGACTCCAAGACATTTCTATACCTGTATAATGCTCGGAAACTTGAAAGAATCAATCATACCAGGACGGATTTCAGTATAAACTTGGCTTGCTCTACTGCTTCAACTTTGGATTCTGGCTCCCGCTGTTACAAACCTGCTGGCTCCATACACATTGCATTTTAATTAACTGCACAAGAAAAGTATGGCACTGGAACCAGCACGCTTCTCGTTTACGTTAGTGCAATGTCATTAGGAGGACAAACTGAAATTATTACACGACTCCTTCATCGACTCAGTGTCTTGTTTGACCTATATCCGATTGCTGCTTTATGCACCCCTGTGCTTATACAAAGTTCTTTTAAAGAAAATCAGATTCTCTCAAAGTTGACACACCAGCCAATAACCGGGAGGTCCTGGATGTCCCCAGCTACCCTGAAATCAGTGGGGGTGGAGGATGCGCTTTACTTGGCAAGACCAGACTCTCAGTGTGGTTAAGTCACTTGAAGAACTGAACCCTCCAGTTAGTCTCAGAATCCACAGTTTCAAAGTGCACTGTTAGAATGACCATTCTAAGGGCAGTGCACCTCTCCTGGCTCACAAACACTCTAGTCCTTTATTTAAAGGTAAAATTACAAATCACTACAACAAACACAAAAGCCTTCATCCCCCTTTGACTTTTGTTCAGAGAGGTAAAAAACCAAACCACCCCAAAATGTAGCACAAACATACCCCTACCTTAAGTCACAGTTCAATTGTTTCCCATATTTTACACTCAAAAGAGTCGCAGCTCCTGTCTTCATGTTGCCTCTTCCCAAAACTACCGCTACTCGAAAGCGCTAGGAATGCCTATGCTATGCACGGCTCTTTGTACTTACAGTTTTAATTAAATAGGGAAAGGAGTTTTTTGAAAACCCAGCAGTTCCATTTGTCCACAAGGACTTTGCTTCCAAACAAGCAGGTAAAAAAAAAGGACAATGCCAGCTTCTTCAGCAAAAGAAAAACGAGCACAGGAATCTCTGTTTAAAGCCACTCAGAGGAAAGCGAATGTGCACTATCCTCCGAGTCTGTAAACAGAACATGCTGGGTCAGGCAGTGAATTGCGGGATTTGCCATATATGTGTAAGAATGAACTCTTATCTTTATATGTTGGCATGCAGTACACTTGATTTAGTGACAGAGACTTCCACAAAACAGCCCAAGGTGTAGCAGGAGTTTCTGTGAGCATGTGGAAGTGAACACTGTCAGGAGCTTGTCCCAGAGACAAACAGATCCTTGATATGCAGGGGGGGAAAAAGACATTCTGTTAAAATAATGTCAACCTATTTCCTTTGGTTTTCTACCTGCAGAGAGAGTATTTTAATTATTTTCATTACGCTAGGTCCACCAGGAAAGAATACTTTAAAACATTCATTTTGAAGCGTTCCACACTGTGTTAAATCCATACCTCTGCTATAATCCCTTTAGCAGCAAAAAGGGGATTTTTAACAAAGCTTCATCAGGGATTCCCATCAGACACTGCTGAAAGCGCACAAACTTTTTATGTGGCATAGCTCTACTTTTACAAACTTAAACACTTTGCTCTGGAGATTTGTTTATGTGATCAATTTCCAGGAAAAGCTTTTGTACAGAAGTACCATATTGTGAGTCTGTGAGGGACTTTCCTTTGGAAGCTAGTGATTCAAGCCCCATAAAGACTATTAACCATCAAAAGTGTTTTGATAGCTCTTCAAAAGAAAAGTCTCCCAGTTGAAAACCCTCCTCCCCACACCACAGTATCTTCTCCGTCTGGAAACATCATTTGATTAAAATGCAGCCTAGCTCACTCAGATGGCATTAATATGGATATTTTAGAGATTGTAGACATTACAATGTCACCAATATAATGGCCATGAGAGGAGATATGGTACTGGTGAGATGAACAGTCCATTGTAGAAAATGATAGTGTTCAAAGACTTTGACTCAAAGAAGTCAAAGGTAATAAAAATATAAATGCTACTTCCAAATCAACGTACACCCTCTATTTTCTCTTTTCCCCGTTTTAGTTTTAAAAGCTATCAGTTTTCTTGGTGGTGGTAACATCACACTGCATGTCTAAGGCCTCATTTTCATTGGATAAGCTCTAGGTTTTACGAAATAGAAATAAAAGTTTGCAACCAAGCTTGTCAGTTTCTCTCCCACACCACAATCTGCTTCCAGTGTGTCTGCTGCAGTCTGGGACCAAAATGTCAAAGTCGCTCTGTACAATAGTAGCAAGCTTCATTCTCACTAAGCTTCAGGTTTAGAGGACGCACGCTGGGAGGGGTCACGTATTCACACGCAGTTTCGAGTTTCTTCGCCTGTGATAAGACAGAGCAGAGCTGGCTCTGCTGTTTAGCTGCTTCTCCCTCAGCCAGAGTCCATCGTAAAGAGTTGGATGTCCTGTGGGTTCCAGTACAGGGCCACAGCGGAATTGTACACCAGGGACCAGACATAGGGGATGAAGAACTCTTCAGGCTGCTCCTCCTCCACATACTTAAACTTCAGTTCTGGGAATTTCTGCAATAAGAAACAAAAGTCTGTTGAGTGAGGGTTTGCATCAATTTGTAAACCTGTAGACTGCATGAGAGCTCAAGTAAGGTGTGGTGATAAAAAGAGCTCTAAGGGAACTGAACCATCAGACCTGAAAGGAAAATACATTTAACAAGGAGGATAAAGAGACCAGCAACGTATGCTACATTGACACGTGCTGTATTCAGCCCTTTGCTGTTGGTTACGCACCTCGCTCTGGTTGCTTCAGTAGATCTCCAGGAGTCACACACGAGATGGGCCATTAACTAACGCTAAGCAGATGGAACCTTATTAACATGAAAAGTTGTGAAAAGGAAAACTGTAAGTTATAGAAGCCCCACGTCAACACTGCTGTCCATGCACATGGAGACCTGGCTATTTCAGTCAATATAAAAATGAATTATGCTATTACGGTCCATAGCTCCTTTGGAAGAGACTCATTTGGACAGGCCCTAGGAACGTGTATGACATTTTAGGATTTGTTTTCAGGAATGTTATGATAAACTGACTTATTTCTCCAATTGTTAAAGATTGTTCAATACACAGATGTCTCCAGTACAGAAGCTAGCTCTCTCCTTCCAGGAAGTGTGTGCTGAGGAAAGAAGTGTGATTAGATTAGAGGGGCTGGGTGCCTGGACTCCTCGGTACTATTCCTAGCTTTGCCACTAACTCACTTTACGGCTTTGGGCAAGTCATTAATTCCCTGTGCCTCAGTTTCCCCATCTTTAAAGAGAGACTAGTACTAATCCATCTCACAGGGCTGCTGTGAGGCTTAATTAAATTGTTTGTAAAGCCATTTGAGGCCTTCAGATCATATGTATTCCATTCTATAATCTAAGTTCTCACACTATTCCCATCTGAGTGCCTTACTACCTTGTTATCCTTACACACAGTTAACTCCTCCTCCCCCAAATTACTGGCCAAACTGTATCATTTCCACAATTAGAGAGACAAGGTAGGTGAGGTAATATCTGTTATTGGACTAACTTCTGCTGGTGAGAGAAAGCTTTTGAGCCACAAACAGCTCTTCTTCAGGTCTGGGAAAGGTACTCAGAGTCACAAACGCAAGTTGGAACACATTATTTAGCATAAGTAGTTAGGACATATTCTAAGGGACCATTCAAGGTAGAGCGGCCTGTTACCATCTTGCATTTAGCTGTGATGCTCAGACTACCTTTCCTCGACTTGAAGAAGAGTGGTGTGTGGCTCGAAAGCTTGTTTCTCTCCCCAAAGAAGTTGGTCCAATATAAGATATTACCTCACCCACCTTGTCTCTCTGATATCCTGGGACCAACACGGCTACAACTACACTGCATGCAATCATTTCCACAATGTCTGGTGCTCTGCTGTACCATCTGCGGGTAAAACACTTTCCAGAATTAACATAGCATGGATGTGCCATGCAGCCTGTCCTCAGTTAGCCTGTGTCCAGTATCTCTTCTCTCCTATAGTGTAATGTACAGCACAGGAAGTCAGCCCACCAGAAAGCCAGCATATACAGTTCCTAACAAGGCAGCTATTAGTTATTAGCTATTAGCACGTTTTTTTTTTTTTGGAAGAGCTGACCCTATTTTTATATGGTGCAATTCATTCATTTTATCTGCTTCTAAATGTTGCCTGTGTCAACAGCCTGGCAGGGATGCAGATAAAAGCCACATTACAGCAATCATTGGGGTAAGATAAAACATGGCCCATTTCATTATTTATAAGGATGTGGCTAAGGCTAAGAATAAACTGCCATGGTGCAACATGATTAGAACAAGTATGACAATGGCTTAGAAGCCTCTTTGCCCATTAATAATGAAGGGATACCTTATCACCTTTCTCTAGCTCAGACTGTCAGGGCTTCCTTGTGTTGGTCCAACAGTCTCTTCCCATCGGAATTTCTCTCTATTGAATGGAGTTCTCTTGGCCACTTGGCTTTCAGGTTTATTTACATTTATTCATCTTGTTTATTTGTGCTCCAGGGAGCAACAAAAACATGGAAATTATTATTTCAGATATTTCCCTGTGTTGTCATCACTGTGAATGTAATATAGTAGTTTGATGCAAGCAGTGTATCCGATACTGTGATTCCAACAAGTCACAAATTAGTCTGGCCTCTGGCTTGAAGCGTGTTGTATTAGGAACATTTTGTAGACGGACAGAAAAGCGAACAGCCCTCCCGTAGCTCCACTCAGAGCCATGCCCTTGGGCTTGTCTAATGTGTCAGGTTTAGTATATTCAAAGCAATGCCAATCACACCTCGCTGTGCGCTGCTCTTTGTCAGAATGTGCTGACACCCTCTTCTAGACTGGCACACTATGGCTCTGCTGACACTGGGATCAGGATGGAGAGAGCTACAGTTCTAACTAGTTTGGTTCTGTTCCTAGTAGAGATAAGGCCTAAGACAGAGCTATCTTCGGTACTTATACGGCCCCCATTACTGAGTAGCTGAGTGCCCCACAGTCTCTGGCATATTTTTCTCCCCAATACCCGTGTTAGCTGGACAGTATTATCCCCATTTTGCAGATGGGGAATCGAGCCACAAAGAGACTAAGGCCTGGTCTACGCTACATGGTTAGGTCAACGCAAGGCAGCTTACGTCAACCTAGCTGTGAATGTTTCTACACTTAAATTTCACTCACACCGATGTAAGTGCCCTGCTGCACCGACTTAATAACACCATCTCCTTGAGTGTGTAGAGTCAGGGTTGATGTAATTAGGTCGACGTAGCGTCAGGGTAGATACTGTGTTACATATGTTGACTATTACTGGCCTGCAGGAGCTGTCCTATAATGTCCCAAACTGACCGCTCTGGTATTGTTGTGAACTCCGCTGCGCAGGGGTCAGGTACACAGGAAGCTGCCCCTCCTCTTTACAACTCCGTGCATTTTTGGAATTCCTTTTCCTGGTTGCCCAGCTTGGCAAGCGCACTTAGCAGCTCTCTCCACTGTTCAGTGCAACTGCCCAGCTGACCATGTCGGCTACGTGCTCCAGATGTGCTGCTGCCTGGAGTAGACAAGACATATCGGATCTCCTATGCCTGTGGGGAGAAGAGGCTGTGCAGGCACAGCTCTGATTCAGCCATATAATCGTGGACATCTATGAGCAGATTGCTTGGGGGATGCAGGAGAAGGGCTACAACAGGGCCCAGCAGCAGGGCCCTGTGAAAGCCAAGAAGCTGTGGCAGATGTACCAGAAGGCCATGGAGGCCAACAATTGATCTGGTGAGGAGCCACGAACTTGCTGCTTTTACAAAGAGCTGCATGCCATCCTTGGTGGAGACCGCACCACCACTGCAAAGTGCCGTGGATACTTTGGAAGAGCCCGAGTCTCAGGCCCCCGCTGTGAACAGCGATGAGAAGGAGGTGGAAGAGGAGGAGGAGCATGGGAGATACATGACCAGGAAATCCAGCTGCGCAATGAGCCAGGACATGTTTTTGAGCCCACTGCAGTTCAGCCAGACCCAACAGTCGAGCATGGGTGAATCTGATGCAGGGAAAGGAACCTCTGGTAAGTATGCAGTTTGCTTTGAAATTACAGGGACGGAAGCCCAGAAGCAGCCGAACACATCAGTTGATTTGCTCTTTTTTACTTGTGGTAGAAGAGGTAGTGAAACAAGCAAGAGAGGTGGAGTTGCGATCTGCTTTTCATTCCCCTCTAGAGTTAGGCAGAGGGAGCCACGCAGAGCAGTTAGTTTATGTGCACTGGAATGTTCCGTGAATCCTCCATAGAGATCTCAAGGAAACTTTCATGGAGGTACTCTTGCAATCCTCTGCCAAAGGTCTCTGGGAAGGGCTGTTTTGTTTCTTCCTCTGTGATAGATGTTGTAGGAGCACCAGTGATCTATATGCTATGTATAACCTGTATGCTCAAAAGGTCTGTTACACTCTCCCCCTCTTTTGTCTCCTCTCCCTCTCTGAATACCTGTGAAAGTGGCTTTCTCCCTCCCACTCCCTCCTGGAATGCTTGTGGGATGAATGGGTTAGTTGAACAGCTGGAAGATCAGAAGAGCTGGGTGTCTGGGACTCTAATTAAGCAGCACTCACACACCCAATGCATGGACACTGGCCGAGGTGGAGTGTGACCAACCAGACGGGGCCAAGTCCTCTCTAGTCACAGGCCATGACACTCTGATTAGGAAGTGATCACACATCCTAATTATTTCCTGATTTTGTGGTCAGTGTAGACAAAGCCAAATCATGTTCAGTTTTGCACCAGCTAATTCAATGCTTAAAACTCATATTTAAAGCATGATTAAATTTCCTAGTATAGACAAGTCCTTAAATAGCTGCCATCTGCCATGCCAGAGGTGGTTGGGCTTCAGTGTTGAGTATGTATGTTATTAAAGTGGTTTGGGATCCTTTGGAATGAAAGGATAAAAACAGAAAATATTATAAATGCTGCTACTGAGGTAAACAAAACTATATAAATATATTCCCCCCCACAAGTCATGGCTTAAGAAATATCAACAACAATGCCTGAGATGTTCAGCTCTCCCTATACCACTTTCTCTCAATTGAAAGGAAAGTGTAGAATATTCCTGATGGTGTTAAATTTTTCTGCCAATAGTTGTGTTGATTTTCTCATCAACACTTTCTTCAAACTGATCAGTACTGTCATCGACTGTAGCAATTAAATAATCAATTTAAGGATTAGAATTATAACCCATTGCAATCAAATTTGTCTCACTGTCATGTTGAACTTTTTTCTTGAAAACTTTTCAGGTTTGGCTTGAAAATTTAGATATCTATGTTTTATGTCAGTGTCTCTACAGTTTGCAGTTACGGCATGCAATTTTCATTATGTCTTCATAAAATGAGTACAAGTAATGACAGATCTGACCAGATTTTGATTAAATACCTAAGCAGTGGACACTGGATGGCTCACTGGGTTGATGATGAGATATGGAGCTTTTCACTTCTAACTCACTAATTCAAATCCAGCCTCTGTAAGGGAAGTATAATTATCCATGGCAGTTTAGTGGACTGTGTCAAACTAATTGG